TGTTATATAATTTAATGCAACATTTCATTCATGTCCGAGTGTTATATCATTTATATCATTTAATGCCACATTTCATTCATGTCCGAGTGTTATATCATTTAATGCCACATTTCATTCATGTCTGAGTGTTATATAATTTAATGCCACATTTCATTCATGTCCGAGTGTTATATAATTTAATGCCACATTTCATTCATGTCCGAGTGTTATATAATTTAATGCCACATTTCATTCATGTCTGAGTGTTATATAATTTAATGCCACATTTCATTCATTTCCAAGTGTTATATCATTTAATGGCACATGTCATTCATAACAAAATGATATTCATTTAAGACATGATTCGTTTTTTACCAGCTGTCACTTTATTGTTGTCAGCTGGTGACATTCACTTTATTTTGCTGTGGACACTACTTTCAGAGATGACCACTTGTACTGGTCATCCTGTTGACCGATATCTAACAGGAAATTATCATTCTCTCTTTGTTTAATATAATGATATCAAATGTAAATCAAGCCTTATTTCTATGTTCACTTAAAACCTCCATCAGTAAAAGATAATTACCCAAGGTTTGAGAAAAGATCAGGTTCTATCAATTTTAACTTTTCTCGACTGAAGCTTTGGGCTGAAATCTATTACAGGTAAAATATGTCCTTACTGTCTCCATTGTACAAATTGTCAAAAAAGGAGTGACTAAACTTTAACCTTGTTATTTTGTCTTTTCATCTTCTCAAGAATAGTTTTTAAAATGCCTCACTTGAAAATACCTCCTTTTTGCATTTATATGGTGTGACTATCCAAGCAAGGAAGGTTGAGTGCTCTGTTCCCAAACTAAGACAACTAGAGTCTAGAATTTGTACTTCTCTGTTTTATGTTTGAATAAGTTGAAGATAAGGGCTGGTTTGCACATTAGCATGTCACTGAATAGGGTCTCATATTACTGTGTCCAGGTCATGACACTTCAGTGATGACACTAGAAAATTGACTTCGGGTGGATGAATTTGTCAAGGTTATGACATTTCAGTGTAATGGCACTATAAAAGTGACCTAGATTGGCCCATCATCCATAAACACATACTATGCCCTGTTTATGACATTTAAGTGTAATCGCACTATGAAATTGGCCTTGATTTGCCCAGGTGATGACATTTCAGTGTAATGGCTCTAAAAGTGACCTTGAGTGGCCCATTATCCATAACACATACTATGTCCAGGTAGAGTGATAGCTCTAAAAGTGACCTTGAGTGGCCCATTATCCATAACACATACTATGTCCAGGTAGAGTGATAGCTCTAAAAGTGACCTTGAGTGGCCCATTATCCATAACACATAACATGTCCAGGTGATGACATTTCAGTGTAATGGCACTATAAAAGTGACCTTGAGTGGCCCATCATCCATAAAGACAATCTCCATAATAGCTCTACTTGTTGTTAGTGTGTAAAGCCTTTTTGAACAAAAAAAAACATTCTGAGTCAACAGATATGTCACTCAGAGATATCTCCAGATGAAGCCAGTGTAAATTATAAGTATGTATAAACTTTATATCAAAACTTCCATTGAAAGTGAAAATAGCGATTAAACTTCAGTCAGTAAAACTTATTTATCAACCCTGAAACACCTGTAATGTCACTACAGATCTCACTCGGCCTGAATATACAGAAACACTGGAATGTATTAAATAACACAGACACAGGTTATATAACTAAACACAACATGTAAGGAGATATATTCAATAGAGGAATGCTTTCTGATTTTTATGACTCATACATAGTGTACATGCATATCTACATCATCCCAAACTTTAAATACTGATCACCTAACAATCAAAAACAGAAGAGTAATGTAAATAAAATGGATGAGTAGAGCTCAGCTCTTATAAAATGAGACGTGAATTTATATGATGTACATGTACAGTCACAATGGATCATGTGATATATTATTAGTAGTAGATGTATGTGGTTGAATGGTCTCAATAAATCTTCATTTACATTCTTTCTAGTATATAATTCAGTGATTACTCAACAATTTAATTTCCTATGTCCTTTTCAAGTTTCAGGGGTCCGGAAAAGCACTCGTCCGGTCGTCATGGACGAGTGAAAATTGTCTCGGACAACCAGATTTATCTTTGTCAGTTGTCCGTCGGACGAGTACTTTTTTCCAATGATATTAATGTTACAACTTCAATTTCAATAAAAAAGTAAAGAAAATTTAAAACAAAGAAACATGTTTACGGTACTGCGAAAACAAAATATTCCAGTCTGCTCTCTAACTTTTGATTACACCAGAGCTCCCATGACGTCAAATATAGCATTCAGTATACCTTAGTCATTTTCCAGCGGTTATACTGATGTCAGGTGTTTTTGTTCTTAACAGCACATAGTCAGTCGGATGTAAACAAACACTATGGTTAGACCTAAGTGATGCACAATGTCTGAAGCAAAGCAGCCATCACTGCATAGTTTTTCCACTAAAAATTCAAATTAAAATAGAAAAAAAAGTCACATGTCACATGCTGATTAAGTCGCCATTTCACAGCTGAATTTGGACGAGTAAACTTCCAGTCCAGACAAGTAAATTTTTAAGCCCACCAGTCATGTGCCTAGTGGTTTAAAATATTTTTACAAACCCCTGAGTTTATTGCTAGAAACAATGGGTCCAACAATGCACAATTAAAGTATTTCCAAAAATTCTTGGAGTTCAATTAAATTTATCACTGATAATTACTAATAAATTGATTACAATGTAATCTTAACCTGTAACTAGAGCACAACACATTTATGTTGATAACCAGCTTCAATTTAAAATTACTTTTTAAGTATTAACCCCCTTTACCTCTTTATACATACATCAAGCAAACCTTTAGTTTTTATAATATTGTAACTATGGTTATGTGGGACGTCAACATCCAGGGTCATTTTGAGGCAGCCTCTCCCTGTACTATAGTTGTCAGATACCTCACTGAGCAATATAGGAGATCCTGATCTTAAAAGACACCACCTCATGACCATAAGAGGATTCAACAAGATCTTAATTACTCATGGTTCTCTAGACTTTAAACACACTATATTCTTCTCCTCTTTCCAAATACAGTTTTAGTTTAATATAAAAATGTAAGCCTTCTAGAAATTTTGCTATATTAAGTAATAAATTTGTATCTTCATTGTTGTGGGATATGAATAAACCTTAAAGGTAAAATTTTGGATGAGAATTTCAGTAATACACTGTAACCATACTCATGAAACCTAAAAATAATTACTGTACTAATCCATTGCAAAATTAACCACCAACTTGTGTACATGTATCTTATAATTTTCAGTGATTTTATTCAAAAGCACAAATCAACACTGTTTAGCTACAGACCGCTAAAAAAGGATGGCTAACATTGCACTCATATAGGATAATACAGAGCAATAGGAGAAATTCTAAAAGTTGTATTTCATTTTACAAGCAATTCCTGTTATATCTTTGATGCCCTTAATGTGGCAATTTGATTCTACCTGATCAGGAACATGAGATCCCAGACAGATCTTGGCACCTACCATCATTTTATGTTTATTTCTTCTTCAGGAGTTGGATCTTTTCCAATATTTTCTTTTCTTTCCTCTGTTGTTACTATTAATCATATGAAATTTGTGAAAATTCCTCTTGAGAAATAGCAATCATAATCCTCAACTGCCAAGTAAAAGATGGCTGCCTGTCAGCCTTTGGTTTTTCTTATCAGTCTCAAAATCAGATGAGCACAACTTGGGACTAAGTGGAACCTACATACAAAATCAGTGAAGGATTTATCAAGTACTTCTGAAGAAACAGTGATAACTAACTTTCTATGTCAAAATCCAAAATGGCTGCTTGTCAGTCAGTTTTTTTTTTTTTTAACAGTCCCAAAATCAAATGGGCACAACTAGCGATCAAGGGGAAACATACATGTGAAATTTGAGAAAGCTCCATCCGTGTACTTTTCTAGAAGTGATGATAACAAGGTTTCATATTCAAAATCCAAGATGGCCGCCTGTAAGTAATTTTGTTCTTCTTCTCAAGAAATTTTTAGAACAAGAATGATTAAGTATGAACGACACACCACATATATAAGGCAATCTGAATAGCCAACCTACTGATGTGACTGTTTGCATTTCTCTGGACTCTGAGAAAAGGATTGGTCTCCGCTGATGTGTTTGTGTCCTTGAACATGACAATTTACCCTAATCTAAGAGCTTATCTCCCCTTTATTTGTAGAATCAGACATATCAAAGAGACCAAAATTTTCACAAAGTTTTTTTTTCTTTATAAATTTCTACAGACAGGGACCAGTCCACATAACAACATGTACCTTAAGGTTTTTTACAGATCCAAGTTGATTCACATTTTACAGAGAGACAGCTTTCCAAAGTATTCAATATGTACTTATACCTTAACTTAATGTGTCATATCTTGAAGACAATTTTCACTTGATATCTAATGATGTATTGATGCATGACATCATATCTGTAACTCTCTCAAGAAAACTTCTCAAATGAGTTTGGAAAGATGTTATATTATACAATAAAACAAGAGGCCCATGGACCTTAACGGTCATCTGACATAAAATACAAGATTTCAAATCCTGAACTTGAGAAGAAGTCAAAAATGTGTTTTCAAGATGGCGACCATGGCGGCCATGTTGGATTTCAGACCAACCCGAAATTAACAAACTTTCGTCAGGATCATGTCACGATCATTTCAGGTAAGTTTCAGCTCAATGAGACATGAAGAACTTGAGAAGAAGTTGAAAATGCTTACGACGGACGCCGCCAGACAAAAGGTGATCACAGTAGGTCATTAGACCCTTCGGTCAGATGACCTAAAAATCAAAGAGGTCTTTTTTAAGTAGAACTCTTTTGTAAATGTTCCTGATTTATGAATATTATATTTTACGTATTATGTATGAATATAATTTATTTGTTGCTTAACATGATAGCGACATCCTCCTCTATAAAGTATTTTAGAGTATTCCTCTTACCTCGGTTGGAACTCTTGAATACACAGTCTCTGTATCACCATGCTCCTTGTCACCTGGAGGCCACACCTGGTTAGTTGCCATGTTTGTCTTTTTCTGTAAAGAAAACCCAGATTGAAGAAGGACTATACATACAGCACTAACTCTACCAAAATCTGAAAAAAGTTACCTGCTGTCAATAACACAAATCTTTTTAAACTCTTCACATGTTCAATATCTTTCAAAAATATATGACTCATTTGCATCATTTGCTTACAAAATCGCAAGATTTTTTTAAAGGTTTGGGATACAGCATTTTTGTGTCATTGTCCGAGGAAAATTGGTAAACTGGGAAGGAGGTTTTCAGGAGTAAGTTACAAATTTGGGAAATTTGGCTTAAATGTGAAACAATTTCAATTTAGAATGGGGTCCATTATCAGTCCCAGAATCAAAATCAGGAACTCAGACAATCCTCTGTCATCGAGGAATCAGACCTTAATTGTGATTACTTGTGCAAAATTTAAAATGTTCTTCTGTGACTTTTGATTTGTTGACTTATTTCCAAATGGAGACCTTGATTTGGACCTAAATAGCGACTGCCAAAATTTAACACTAAAAGCAACATCATAGTCTTAATGTAACTCTGGTAAGTTCTAGCTTCACTATACTATATGGCAAGAGAGAACTTCTCTTTAGCTCGATCTGTTGAGTGTCAAAGTAGTAAGACAGAGGTCCTGGGTTCAAACTCTTGTGGAGCCAGTGATATATATAATGACCTCTGTTACATTATTTTTGCTACTTTTTTAAATGTTTGTTAATTGATTTCCCTGGTCAATATTTCATCATGATAACTGGAAAAGATTTATACAAATCAAATGTTTAATGTCTTATTTCTTCTGATTTTAGATCTTATGTGAAGATGAATTAAGATATTTATTTTTTGAAGATTTGTCTGTTAATTGAACATTTCACACTGATTTTCTTAATGTGTTTGTTGCACTTTTTCTACCCTGATGATGGTGATATTTTTTAATAATGAAAGACAATTTAACATTGTGTAACACCTTTCACAAAATAAGTAAACTAACTCTAATACAAACTGACACGTTAGGTGGATGTTTTGGGAATTTTTTTTTTTTTTCAAATGTGGAAGTTCATAGATATTGATAATTCAGTTCCACATTCCAACAACTAGCTTAATAGCCATCATGCAGTTGAATGTCATGTCTATAAGTATTGAAGTTGAGTAACGTGAAATGTGGACAGCACTTGGATGAATAACCCCTTTATTGTACTCCAAGTGCACATTACATTCAGTGGCAGTGTGTGTTGGGAATCGTCACACAATTTAGAACAGATATCAACAGTAATCATTTGGGACTAATAGAGATGAATGAGGTGATGGTTACTGCATTTCACAAATGTTTAGAATATAAAGATTTTTATTTCTAAAAACAAAATCTGAAAAATGTGAAAAGACGGTTGTCATCACTGAAGTGTGTACAGAATGAAAATCGCAAAATGAACAATGTTATATAGAATAATATAGTTCAGCAACACTAAAGTTGTCACTTATATGTATTAATCAGATAAAAGTTAAGATAACTTATATTCTCCTTAACATACCAAAATACTGTATGCCTCTTCTTTTTGCCAGTGGGGGCCAAGCCACGATATCGGTTTCTTTGTAGTTCAAACTGTTAAGGTCTAATATGAAAATCTATCTCTTAGTCATTTAATGGTGCTGGACATGCTGATTAAATTAGATTTAGCAAATTTGATATGTGGCAGGGTGATTTTTATATTAACTGAACTATATATATGTGTGTTTATTAGTAGTGATTATGTTATATGGTATAAGTGTCTTAAAAATAACATATCATTAGTGTGGATTATATATATGTTATATGGGTTTTGAAAAATAACATATTGTCCACAGTATTTCATTATATCAAATGTATGTATAAATACTATTACCAGGCAATAACGCTGTAGGGTCAGGTATTTAAGACAGGACCTTTGACATGCCTGCACTATGACATTTTAACCTCACAACCTTACACTCTGATTAGCTAGGACTGTCACATGATTGACTTTCATTGGTTTAGACATTACAGTTACTGGACAGTCTCTGATTGGGCATAACAACCCGTTTTGGCCAATCAGATGCTTTCCATTTAGCCAAGTGAGATTTGCACGTGCTGCAAACTTTGTCAGTCCTAGCACCAGCTGCCAGCCGTTCAAGTTTCCTATTGGAGAGCTAAAGTTTGCTGGGTGTCAGAGAAATGCCGGTGTGAGGTGTGAACTGCCAGTAAGCTGGTCAGAAGCCCGGTCAAACCCCTGCATGATATGTAGGGGTTTTATTTTGTTGGTCGTACGTAATAAATGTGGGAAAGAACGCACGTGTGTCATCTTTTATTGGACAACGAAACACCCCCGTTACAAATGGCGCCTAACGTGGTGGTATCCACGTCATCAACAATATGCTCCGGGTCAGCTCCATATTTGCACCTCTAGAGGGCTAGCATCTCACCTCCGCCAGACCGCGACAATGACCCCCTGTTGTGATGTCTCATCATGTGAACTCTTGTGTGTGACTGTATGTACACCTTGTTTTGTGCTTTAATTTATTACCACGTGTGTGTGAATGATTTGACATGTTTTGTATATATTGTTTGAGTCCATTCATTCAAAAATGGTACATGCTGCAGTCAAATATCAACGATATTGAACCTCGTGGTATACAGGATATACAACCTTGAGACCCAGCTTCCGGTTCCTGTTTACAGTACTACTTCCTGTCTACAACTTCCTGTTTACAGTACTACTTCCTGTCTACAACTTCATGTTTACAGTACTTCTTCCGTTACAACAATGTGACAGAGGTCATTTTTATCTCAATGCCTCCGCTAAGAATCTAACCCGGGACCCCTGGCTTACTAGTCTGACGCTCAACCAATCAAGCTAAAGAGAAGTTCTCTCTAGTCGAGTGGTATATTGCAGCTAGTATTTTACCAGGGTTACATACTCCCCCTCCAGGAAAGAACTCGTCCTCGAGTTTCCAGGGGTTACAGCGATGCTGGTGGGGCATGGCTAAGTACTATTCCCGGGTCCCTACATGGGCGCCAATGTGACAGAGGTCATTTTTCATCTCAAAGCCACCACTAGGAATCTAACCCATCACAAAGGACTGACAAGTGAAAAGCCTTGGTTTTCAAAAGGGAAATAACTCTAGATATTTTAACTTCCTCGTGTGTTTACAGGTAGAAATAGTGTTGTCTTAAGACATTATCTAATGATTATTCACAAAAATTTACTTTTTTCATTGCCGGTGACATTCAAAACAAGCAAATACAAATATTTTGAAGAAATACAAAAGTAAAAAAAAAAAAAAATTGGTGAAATATTTTGAAGAAAAACAAAAACAAGAAAAAATTGGCAAATGTTGCTAGTTCGTGTGACATGCACAGGCAATGATAAGCTGGTAAGAAATCAGATCATGGTCTCTATATTATCACACAATGCTTGCTCCAATTACATGGCATAATAAACTATGTTGGTACCAATCAAGGACCGAGGAAGCTGGGTATCAATATTGCTATTCCTACTCATAAAGTTGACACTCACTGATGTACACTACCAAGTCATTCTGAATTAAGCTATTTAGTATTTATAGACTGTTAATTTCGTATATGTGGTCGTCACTCCAGAGCCTTTGGACAGTAACTACAGTAGAACATTCTAATAGGCCTAGTCATATTACCCCGAGTGATCATGTAACGTGAAACACCGTTAACTTTTCATTATTTATGTTACTATACAGACTGTTGAATATGGTATATTGCTTGTAAAGCACGCGTGTATGTCAACATATACACATTAAACAAAATGCTTAAGATGGAAGGCCGTCCCCAAAAGTGTAGTATTTAATAAAACATAATCAAATAGTGTAATACACCTGTGCTACTTGTGTATGTAAGGTATCCCATTGACGAGAAATAGGTAGAGTTATACAGTATACGGCCTACGAGCGCGAGCAGAGGTCCATTTTCCAGATTCCTTACACAATTTTAAATGTGTAATGAACAAGATGACAAGACTAATTACAAATTTAAGTGACGAATGTCCACTTACCAACCCTTCCCGTCGCAGATCTCTAGTAAAATTAGCTCCATCTTGTCATAGTTGACCCTTTCTGACACGGAAGTAGCGACGAGCGTCACGTGTAGTTGTTGACGTTCTATAAGGCCAATGGGAAAATAGTACAACGTCTCTGATTGGACAAAACTGTAATGAAGTCTGACAAAAGCGCGAAATTTGAAAATGTTTCGTGACGATTTAAACTTGGAATTATTTTGGAAATAATTGCAATTTCTGATGTATTGGAGAGATGTTGCAAAAAGATCCGTACCATGATCCAATAATCAATACTAGTAGGCATATCATCTTTAAAACTCATTGCATGGGCAAGAGGCAAGTCTATCTGGGAATTGTTGCTTTGTATTAACTGAACTTACATATTGCACTACAAAAGATGATTTGAAATATGTGCAGAGTATTTTTATGGATGCAGCAAAATTATTCACAACTACTTAAACTTCCACAGAGGTATGATAATGACATGAATATTGCATGTAAGTTTGCTGCTGAAGCGTAAGGAGAGTTGAGTATAAATATTAAGAGGTTCTACTCTATAGTGTGCGAGGAGCCAATCAAAGGCCTCCTCAGAAGTAAAAAAATTCATTGCATAATGTTTCAATTCTTCATTTATTTCAAGTAATGTTACCATGAAATTCAAGTTAAAGGTTTCATTTTTTTAATGTCACATCTCTGCACGAGTCAGTATGTCTGATATAAGTTGCCCATTGGTGGGTTAGTTACAGGTCTGTTCTCCACTTTCACAGAAGAAATAAATTTTCAGCAGATGCAAGGGTGTTGGCCTGTATCCTGCCTCTTTGATTCCTAAGGCACTGTCTGTTGTCGGACAGGTTGGGTCTCTAAAACATCTGTATGCACTGTATGGACAAATGCATGGCCCTTTGAATGGGTAATAATGAACTGAGATAAATGTTATTCACAAGGTTCTAAGGGGAAGTAATACAAGC